CTCACCAGTGTTGAATGATCTATGAAAGGAAGGTCGTATTGGGATGGTGGGAGGGGTGGGTTTTTATTTCTTTGGGTGTTTGGGTTTGGTTTGTGTGCGTGTGTGTAGATTTTAGGATGGGCTTTTCCAAGTTCCTGGGAGTGCTTGGAGTCCTTCAGCTGACCGTAGTCTTAAGTAAACTCAGCTACTTTCAGCTCTCTTGGTTTGTGCCGTTTAGCTCTTTCAAAAAGTAAAGTAGGCTGGTCACTCTGAAGTGAGGGAAAGAAAACCTGGGTTTTTGCAGGAGACAATAGCTTGCAAACTGTGCCCTCTGCCTCTGCTAGGTGGCAGCAAGTCGTTTGGTGGTGGTTCCAAAGAAGCTATTTTGAACAAAGAATGTATTTGGGAAGGGATCTGAAAGGTGTTCTTGTTTCTTAGTTTGCTTTCTTTTCCCCTGCTTTCTGGGAAAGATCTTCCTTAACTTTCTTGGGATGCATTTGAAGTTTTAAGCTAGGTATAAATAAGAATTTTATACAGTAGCTTTAAAGAGCTTAGAAACCTAAACTAAGTTAGACATAGTAATGTACCCTCTCCACAGGTGTCCCCATTGACATGGCAGAGAGCCCGAAGGGAAAGGGATAGGATGGTACTTGGAGGAAAATAAAAGCTCTTATTTTTTTCTTTTCCCCTCGTGTTTTATGGATTTTTAACTCAAGAGCAGAGTGTGCCAGCATCTCTCTAGCATCCTCCATAGAGTACAGGGTTGGATGCTAAGTGACAGATACTTCCCCAGCCTTCAGACATTTCCCAGACCTGCATCTTCATCTGCTAGTCCTGCTCCCAACGTTTTCCAAAGATTGCTCCACCAGTAAGTTATCCCACCGCCCTTTCTGTTTTCTTCCTTGAAATATCATGAACAACAGAGTTATCTGGTTATTTTTTTCTTTTAATTATCCTTCTGCCCAGCTGGCCCTAGTTAATGTCAGCCCAGAATCTAACTGTAATGGCTAAAGACACTTATCCAAACCCCCCTCTTCTCATCTCTTTCCTACCCTCCCTACACAGACTACTTACGCTTTACAAAGACACTAACCTCTTTCCTCCCACCTCTATGACTTGAAAATGGTCAAATGTGTTGGAGAAACTGGGTTATTGCTAGATAAGTTACTGCAGTCCCTCTGGTGTAAATGCCATCAGAACTACAATACTTCCTGTTGAAAAAGGTCACCCTTCTTTCTCTTTTAACCCCTCCATTCCTTCCCCCAACAGAATAAAACACTAGAATTTATTTATGCGTATTTGATGTTGTAGGTCTAGGTGAAAAAGTAATTGTTTCACTGCTCTATTTATATATTATGTCTGAATTATTCTGTGCAGGAAAGGCCAAGAAATGCATGTGAGCTTCGTTCCATTCCTCACCTTTGCCTGACTGTCAGCTGCAGTTGGCAAGACTCTCTTTCACTTAATGGAGTTTTGTGTGATGGAAAGCAGTTTTAGAGCCCAAATTTCTATGGTGCAATATCTTTCTTCTCTGGCATCTATTTCCGTTTGTTTTAATTAAAGCTTAGTACAAGGTTAGTGCAGTTTGTGGTGCTCTCAACTCAAAAGGAAAGTCTATGATCCTCAAGGTGCAGAAATGCCAAGGGTGCTGGAAGGCTGCCACAGCTTCAGCCTGGGGAAGAGAATGGAGATGAATAGGATGGGGATACGGTTTATAGGGGGATAATTCTGCTTGCCATCTCCACTGCTGAAGGGTCAGGCCCTAATGATTTGTTCCTTTGCAAATTGCTTTTGCTTTGACTGGAAAGCTACCAAATTAGAGGCTCCTTCTGCTAGGAAAGGTGCGGGGTGTGGTGGGAGTGAGTAGTGGAATCTGGATTTTCAAGTGACAGTGGGTGAAGCAGAAATATTCAGGGGCTGGCTTTGCTGCTTTTCATTCAGCTGAAGGCCTGAAGCAGGTGTGTAATCAATCCCATTGTATGCAGAGTATTCATGCCCTAGTGGCTGCATCCAGTGCTGCTTTCCTCTCCAGCCTGATTTTAGCTCAATAAAATAATAATAAAAAAAAATAATAAAAAAATTAAAATGAAAACAATAGAAAAAAAGAGGGAAGAAAAAAAGGAGAAGAAAAAAAAAAGCTGCTCCAGTAGATTTTTAAATGACAAGTGGATGCAGCACAGTCCCAGGGATGCAGGGATTCCTGTTGGCTCCTGGCCCTGCCCCGTGGCAGCTGCCCAGTGTCAGCACCTCTGGGTGTGTTTGCAGCCCCTGGGACTCGCTGTGTTTGTGCTCACCCAGAGGCATTGCTCAGTTTCCCTTTCAGTTTCCTTGCAAGAATGCTGCAAAGCTACAAGCTGCGCTGTGGTTCCTGTGTATTTATAGGTATATATTAAAAAAAAACAACAAAAGAGCCTAGCATTTTTGCTACACCTCTCCTTTTGGCAGGCTGCTCTGCTCAGTCCCAAGCCAGCACCACTGCATGCCGAGCTCTCCTCCTGTTGCGTTTTGTTAACCTCCCATTTTGCTTCTTGACTGGTTAGCTCCTCATGGCACGGGTTAGTTTTGGCACACAGCAGCCCAGTTTCCGTGTGAGAAAGGTGTTTCTGTGAGTAAGAATTCCTTCTCAACAGGCATCAGGACACTTAGCTGTGTCCCACAGACAGAGAAGGTGTGTTTTGCTGCCTGTGAAGAGAGCAGCAGTCCAGCTGCTGGGCTTTTTTTTGTTGTCCTAATCCAAAAAACCAGATTTTCTTCATGGCTGTAGACACCCCCTTGGGTTTCATGGCTTGTCCTGCTTCCTGAAGATGTCCCAGCGCCATCCTTGCCCATTCCCTGGGAATGGCAGCAGCGAGGCACTCACCCTTAGCATGTCTGGAGGCATCACCCTTAGCTGGAATCCTCCCTCTGGTTCATTATCAGTTGCATCTCTTGTTTCTCAAGGGGATCCTGTGCTCCTTCAAGCTTTTTTAACCTCATGACCTGTATAGTAAAATATTTTTTTTTTTTGGCCTTTCCTCTCTTTTTGTCTTTCCATGTAGACCAGATATTTGAAAGGGCAGACGATGGATAATTGTGTAACGTGCAACCTGTTTATATTTTTTGGAAACTTTTACTTGGACCGGAACTCGAATCACGGCATCACCAGGCCAGTTGTGGCACACTCTTTATTGCCCTTTTTTCCTCGTTTCAGTACCTATTGTTTCTCCTTTCAAATATGTGATTGTATTAGCTCTTTCCATATGAAAGAATTCTCCTTATTTAAATAAAAAAAAATAATAAAAAAATAAAGCAGATTATGCTTTTCTCAAATCCCCCAGGCCCTAGACTTGTTCTTTTGGTTGAAGACTTTAATGTTTTGGGGGTTTTATTTTGTTGTGGTTGAGAGGAGGTGGCCCAAGCACGGACAGGGGTGGTTGTGAGAGGGCAGAGATGCAGTGGGAGAGGACAAAGCTTTTAGGAGGCTCCC